CCCCATAGTCCCTGACAAAACTTAACTACACACAGCCCCACACACACATACAAAAGCTCAAACACACACAAACTCAAAAACACACTCACGTCCACGTAAACATGCACACAAACATGCACACACACATACACGCAAGCACACACACCCACACACCCACACAAACACACCCATACACACACACATACACTGTTTTCGTTTAGGAGAAGGAGCCATTGATTGTATAGCAAGCCTCTAAATCAGAAACAGACAAACAGTATGTGAATTACCGGAAACGAAGCCAACATTTGGGCCACAGATTTATCAAAGATATATGTTTTACAGATAGTCTCACAGATAGATATCTCACAGATAGATCTCCGTCAGCAGCTGCGAATCTTCAATGTTGATCTTGTCGTACGTGGAGCCAAGCACGGCGATCATGAGTTTGCAGGACTGGACATCAAATGGAAACTTCCGAATGTCTACGGGGCACCTAGTGGTTGGGAACCGACAACTTTAGTATTCTTGTGCGAGACAAGAAAAAAATGATAGTGTGGTATGCGAAAATTATATTATGTTTCAGTGTGGTATGCTGTAGTGTGGTGCTGTGTTATTCAGTAGACTAATATGGTAAAGCCAAACGTGGTGTGGCGTATGTAGCGTGGTGTGGTGTGGTGTGATGTGGGGTGGGGTGGGGTGGGGAGGGGTAGTGTGGTGTTGGGTGGGTTGGAATGGTGTATAGATAGATAGATAGATAGATAGATAGATAGATAGATAGATAGATAGGACAGAGGGACACACATTCTTTCTTACAAATGATAGCGTTCTTAAACAGTTTCTACTCTACCATGAAGTTATCCTTGAATACATAAACAGGAGAACCGCGCCGTCACTTCGGATGACTGCCAGGTCGGAGGAGGTAGGGTTGTAGTTTTGCCTGTCCATGGAGTTCAAGATGGTGAAGGTTCGAGTCCACAGACTCTCGACCGGCACGACGAGGAACTCAGGTCTGTGGATGCAATTATCCAAGACGTGGTTTAATTAAGGCTACAATGACAATTACAAGTACATGTATTTACCTAGAACTAGAGGGGGCTGGGAAAGGGATATGTCCAATCTGAAGAGACAGACAGCAAAGGTAATACATGTATTGTGTAAACAACGATCTAATGAATATATA